AATAAGCATAAAATATGTCAACGAATTATTTAAAATGATAATTTATTTTCAAATTATTTATCATTTTATAAATAGTGTATCATGTATAATTCAAAATATTTTAAATAAATTTTTTAAAAATTTTATTTGTTTAGTTTTGTACCAGTAATTATAAAATGATTAATTAGTATATTTAATTTTTAACATTTTTACTTGGTTATAAAGTATCAAGTTAAAATTGTTAAAACTTTTAAACTGTTTAGCTTAACATCTACCGAAAAATATTTTAGTTTATAATGTTTATAATAATTTTTAAGTTTAATCATATTTTTTAAATTACTAATAATGATTATGATTTGTAATTGCATTTAATTGATGATTTTTTATTTATATAATATAAATAATTATAAAGGGTTTTGCATTTGATTTACATACATATCAACCTAACACTATTTTATACAATTACGTTATAACTTAATTAAATTATTAATAAATATTTATTAGTATTTAAATATTAACTTTATTGTGATTTCTCTCAATATACTTTTAGTTTCTTATTTATTCATTACTTTTTTCTTTATGTTTACTAAATCCTTGAAGTTTTATTAAATGATACGATATTCATGGGAATAATTCATGATAATATACTCATATGAATATTAAATAAGTATCAGAAAATATTATATAATTATACATTGAATCATAATTAAACATAATTGATAACTTAATCCTTAACTTTTTATACTGGACAAAAATACTGTATCTCTCAAAATGTTTTAGTAGAATTAGAATTAGAAAATATTATTTGTTAAATATCCTAATTAAAATTTAAAAATGTTACTGACTAGCTATTAATAATAACTTTGTAATAGTTTTATTTCTAGTAAAATATTTCATTAGACAAATCTTAGAAATATTTTTTAAAATATTTAAATAAAATAATATTCAAAAATCTCTAGCAATATATTAATTGTAATTTAATTGTTTATTTTTAATACTGCTCGTCGCATGAATTATATACAATTAAATTTTTAGAAAACTAATTTAAAATAAATGACACTGTTATTTAAATTTTTGTGACACCTCGCAATATACGTTATTCTTTAGTTGGATAATATATTTTAAATATTTATTTATTTATTAACTTTTTTGTTTTATTTTGTTAACTAAATCCTTGAAACTTTATTGAATTATTGTTATTCGTGGAAATACTTCACAAGAGTACAGTCATATACTGTAATTTTAGTATTGTAACTTATACCTTAAATATAATAACAAAATAATATTTGTTAACATGAAATGTTTACCGTAATGTAGTTAATATCAAGTGTTGAACTTAAATGTCTCAAATTATTATAAATATTTATCGTCCTTATTTATTATTTGCGATTTAAAAATATTAAAAAGTTAGTTTATTTTGTTTACCAGTGTGAGTATAACATTTTAAAATTTTTATTTTAATTAATTAATTGAGTTATTTAATATTACAAATGGCTAACAGTTGGTAAATACAGTATACAAATTCTGTAGTTATATTAAAACTATTTTATCAATAATTGTTGTTTGTGTTTAAACTTTAAATATAATGTAAAAACCTTATTGTATGAATAGAAAAAATATTTCACAGTTACTGTATTTTAATTATTGATACTAACATTATCAACCATTCCTCCATGTCCTCACAAATTATACGAGTATAGTGATACCTTTAATAAATAATTTGTGATAAATAATGGTTGCCAATACAATCACCAAAGATGAAATGATACCATTGGCATCCACTTCCACACACACCACACATACCATTCCCATCACCGATGATAGGCTGAAGTTGTATTGGAATGGATTGACATATAAAACGAGTGATAATAAGAAACTCATCTCAAGAAACAAAACTAATGTCAAGACTATTATCAATGACTTGAACGGAGAGATAACGAGCGGAGAGTTGACCGGAATATTAGGGCCGAGCGGGTCCGGCAAGACTACACTCATTGAATGCCTGGCCGGTAGACGAGTGGCCGGACTCAGTGGCCGGGTATGGGTTAAGTCATCCAACGATAAGTTAATATAAGAATTATATTATTAATTGTTAATATAAATGATAATGAGTTCATTTTTTCTATTATACTCATTGCATAACCTGTTTATAATTTTTACAAGTTTTCCCCTAAAATTATTTTGCATAAGTACAACATTTGAATATATTTCAAATAATATAAATTAATAACTATTCCCAATGTATTATAAAACATACCTGTGCTAATTGAGAACCATCACCAACATGTGTTTGTAAACTCATCTAATTTGTATAAAACATTCAAAGAATATCACTTTATTTGATTTAATCCCAAATATACAGAAAAGTAAACCTTAGGATTGCATACAATGGACAGACCGATGCACTGGTTAATGAGCTAACTGTGCGGGAAGCCCTCAAATACGCTTCTCATCTCAAGAAAAGCGTACAAAGGGTTACGACTTTTTCGATGTCAACCACGAGAACTACCGGTCTCATAATAATAATACCTGTGCTCACACTTACGCTAATAGTGAGCAAAGGGAGCCGTTAGCTTCTGGCAAAAACTATCAATCACATGACCTAACCGTACATAATATGCTTGAGGTGTTTGGACTGTTAGGTTGTGCTCGTGTTAAGACCAGTTCCATTAGTGGGGGTCAGAAAAAACGGCTATCCATTGCATTGGAGTTGATATTCTCACCGAATATACTACTACTGGACGAACCGACCACTGGCTTAGACTCGACCTCCAGTTTCCAGTGTCTGTCCCTTTTGAAGACATTGTCGTATAATAAGGAACCGTTGGTTATAGCGGTATCCATACATCAGCCCACTGCCCGACTACTGGCGCTTTTTAACTTTATTTATGTATTATCAATGGACGGCCGGTGCATATATAGTGGACCCACCGATCGGCTTATCACACACTTATCGGGGTTTGGCTACAATTGTCCGGTAATTAAACCCTTTATATTTGACTGACTCGTGAGTGAGTTTAATATTAATGTAACTTTAAATTAATTAATATTTTTGTAAGAAATGTATGTTTTATATAAATATTATATATTTGTGTTTCAAGGGTAAATTTAAAACTGTAATTAAATAATATTTATTTTATTATTAAATTTATTATCATTATTAAAATTTTAAACTATGGGAACAGTAATATTATGGTTTATTTTATGGTAACTATAAATTGTTTATTTTAACCCAGGTATTTCACAATCCGGCAGATTACGTTATGGAAATATCTTGTGGTGTACAAGGGCCGGATGTAAAATATTACCTAGGAACCTACATTTTATAATAATTAATTTTTACAACTCATTTCCAAGCAATCGATACCTTGGCATCACATGAGAGACAAACACTAAACACTAAGTTAGAGTCCATAAGAATCGCGAAAAACGAGTCCATTGTTGACAACAGGAGTGACACTAAAATTAACGCTAAAACCGATTCAAAACAATCCTTGAATGACCAGCTCCGGGATATATGGGTACTAACAAAACGGGCTCAATTGGTGTCTATACGTAATCCCCATGTAATATGGTTACGATTTCTATTCATGATCATATCCCTGTTCACTAAGCTAATGATGTACTCGGACGTCAAAGTGGGACAGTTGGGTGGGGGTGAGTGCGCGGACAGGGAGTCAGTGTTGGCCCGTTTGAGTGAATTTGGCAACAGAGAGGGCACTGAGAGGTTCCGGGCTTTGCAACAAAATTCCTCATATATTTTGAGCAATATTTTGTTCATTCATGCCGTCAATATCGGGCCCACACTCATGACATTCACCGTCGAGTTGAACATATTTGTCAAGGTATTTGGGAGTATATTGTTTTACATTCATAATCATTAATTAGTGTTAATTAATAATTTTAACTTCCCAGGAGCATTTCAACAAATGGTATACGTGTTGGTCATACTTCACGGCCCGTTCCCTCGTAGACATACCAATCGTATTGATATTAACCATAATGTTCTCCACAATCATGTGGTGGATAACCGGTCAGGTATGGGATTGTTAGGATGTGCTCGAGTAAAAACGGGTGCTATCAGTGGGGGTCAGAAAAAACGGCTGTCCATAGCATTGGAGTTGATATTCTCGCCGAATATACTACTACTGGACGAACCGACCACTGGTTTAGACTCGGCCTCCAGTTTCCAGTGTCTGTCCCTTTTGAAGACATTGTCGTATAATAAGGAACCGTTGGTTATAGCGATGTCTATACACCAACCAACTGCCCGACTACTGGCCTTTTTTGACAGTATTTACGTGCTATCAATGGACGGCCGGTGCATATATAGTGGACCCACTGATCGATTAATCACTCATTTGTCAGACTTTGGTTTTAATTGTCCGGTAATAATGAATTTTGGTTTAAAAGATTATATAAATTAAATTAATATAATATATTGTAATTAATATTGTTAAATACCAGGTATTTCACAATCCGGCAGATTTTTTAATGGAAATATCCAGTGGCGCACATGAGCCTGATGTAAATATTTATAATTTAAACTTTAGCTAGATAATTATTAATTGAATATTTATTAAATTACATCATAAGGCTATCGATAGATTAGCCATATATGAGAGTCAAAGCCATACATTAGAGTCAATAAAACTATCAAAACCTGATACTATTATCGACGTTGGGAAAGGGATCAAAAATAAGCCTACAACTAAATCCCACCGAACAGTCAAAGACCAGCTCCGGGACGTATGGATACTACTGAAACGGGCGCACCTGGTGTTCATACGGAACCCCTTCATGATATGGTTGCGGTTATTTGTAATGGTAGTGGCCCTTCCATGTGAATATGCTATATTTTCGGGTACTCGTAGGGGAGAGTTAGATACAGGGTGTTTGAACTCGGAGTCAGTAATGGTTAAGATTATGTCAATAGTGGATAATAAGAGTACAACAAATGAAACTTTTAACAATTTAAGCGATGTAGGCTATATTATTAGTACAATGCTGTTCATACACTTTACTGCTATCGTGCCCACACTCATGACGTTCCCCATCGAGTTGAACACATTTGTCAAGGTATTTGAGATATTAATATTTTTAATTAATATTAAATTATAATTTTCTCATTTACTAACTATTTAACAGGAACATTTCAACAAATGGTACACATGTTGGTCATATTTCACAGCCCGTTCCCTCGTAGACATCCCATTAGTTTTGGTGATAAGTGTAATATACGCTACAATCATGTGGTGGATGACTGATCAGGTGTGGGACGGGTGGCGATTCAGTGTACACCAATTAGTCATGATGCTCTTGGCACTGGTCTCTCACAGCCTCGGACTACTACTGTCGGCAATATTCATGAATGACATCCGGGCCAGTATACTGTCCTTAACGACAATCGTAACGGCACTCCTGTTATTCAGTGGTTCACTCATACCCGTCCGGATATTGCCATCATATTTGCAAACATTATCCTATTTGTCTATTTTCAGGTATCCCTCGTGTAATAGCTTTTCACTTACCGTTAAATTAATTCTTTAATTATTCATACAAACCACAGACTAACATACGAATCAATGTTAATAATACTGTATGGCTTTAACCGTTGTCCCACTCTTAATGACCCCCTAACCATGGATTCACTGACCCATGAGTTTGGGGTCAATATGTATCACATGGAGGAGTGTCTGAAAGGGGCGGACAGTCTGGCGAATGTGACCCGTAATAGCCTGTCCGGCATCAACCGACTGGTGGCCAAACAGAACCCCTCGCGGATATTGGAGTGGTTCGACCTACAGGACAGGGATCTCTACGTTTATATCAGTCTATTTCTCGCATATACGGTCACTCTTAGATGGTTGGCCTACTATGCGCTCAAATGGAGGGCTAGAATTGAATAAGGATAACAAATGTTAACCAATTAATAAAAATAATAATTTATTTGTGTTATTAGGTTATACTTTATATTATTCAAGACTTATTATGATAATTGTTGTTTCTTTAATATGATAATTATGTTTATTAATTAAAACCAATCGTATAATTAAAATAAATAAATATTAATTAAATATATGATTATTTGTAATTCGTTAACATTCAATTACTGTATTTAAATGGTCAGAAATTTTACTAGTTTAATTGAAAATACAAACTGTATTCAAAATTTAAGAATTTTTTATAATATAAAGCATTACAGAGTAATATAATATGTAAAAATTTATTTGTGTTTATAAAATAGTTATTCATAATATTATGCTTTTAATGCATATTATGCTTTTTGGAAAAATATTTTTAAATATTTGTACATTAGTATAATGTGATAAATTATCTAATATTTGCTTAAATTGAAAATCTAATCAAAAGTATTGCATGGGAAATTGATATTCATGTTTGTATTACAATAATAAAAAATATTTTATTAAAGTATAATTTTTTATAGTAAGCTATTCTTAAATGTTTTATATCAGTAATATTATATTCATGTAGGATTGAAATGCATAGTTACATAACATTATATGAATCATACTTTGAATGACTTTGTACTTATCTAAGCAAATACAATAAAAATATTAAAATATTAATTTTAATAAACAGGACATCCTAGAGTGTATTTCATTATTTGTTCACTAATATTGCAATCAAATGCTATGTGATTACATAACAAAACCCAAACAAATGAATCATTAATTTGTGAAGTTATTACATATTTAACTCCATTTTACAGTAATGGTTACGAAATTATTATTAATTAATATGAAGTAACCTAAATGAAAATGTGTTCCTACCTGGATGAATTTAGCATTTGTAACACCATATCTGACAACATTAAACAAAACATAATCCTATTTCATGTATTTGAAACTGATTACGAAAGTAATGTATTGTATGTCACAAGCGATGACTTGGTGTATGGTTTGGGATATAACTATTACGGGTGTCTGGGCTTAGGACACAACCATATGGTGACATCACCACAAATTA